TTTTACACTAAAACTTGAGGCTATCCAGTGATGCCCAATTTGCTGGAGCAAGGAAAGGAGCGGGCAGCTTTCAGAGTGCTTGCCATCTGGGTAGCAGTCTGGCGTATAGTTTGAGAGCCTTCGTAAGGTGCAGGCTGTTTCCAGGGTGGCACTGATGTATGGTGCGTACGCCCTTCTGGCATTGCAGTCAGTGTTGTGCGTGCTACTGTTTCACACCGGTAAGAGAATGTTTATATTACAGAAATACCAAAACTGACTGGGTTGTTGCTTCCTAAATCTAGACAAGTGGCTGCCGCAGACCCTCGTGGCTTGCTCGCAACATTTGCCCTCAGGCAGGGTGGGATGCTGAGCAGCTCATTGGACTGACATCATCACTTTTTTGTCTGAGTCTCTGCAGTCACTAGGAGTGGTAAATGGGCCTTAAGAAAGGTGGTCTTACATTAGGACAGTCAGTCTCTAGTACTGAAATAGCTGCACTTGGTTTCAGTGACACTGACCTTGACCTAGGGATGGTTATTTGGGGCAGAGAGAAATGGATGAAGGGTGGCCTCTGTTTCCATAAGAAAGCTTGTATGTCTGCATGGTCCCTCTTTGGTAGCACCCCAGAAAAATTGCTCATTCCCAAAGCCTTGTGAGGGCATAGATCTGTGACCCTCCCAGCTGGACTGTGGTGGGTCTGTGAGAGGCTTGGTGAGAGAGGGTGCTGGCAGGTATGCCATCCCTCACAGGTGATAGGGAAGCCCTTGGATGGTGCCCTCCTAGGCAGGAAGTACCCCAGGCAGTGCGTTTCAGCACTGTTTGGAGGTAGGAGGAATTTGATTTTAAAGTGTTGAGACCAGTCGGAAGAAAACAAGTTAGAGGTTTTATTAGATACGCTGAGCCATGTTACTTGCTGACTGAAGTCCTGAGTGCTACTGGTCTGAACAATCGAGTGATTTCTCATAAGGTCAACATTATCAGATTGGTTATTTAAGGTGAAATTTAGAGAAATGAGGTTAAGTTGCTATGTAACTTGGTAGCTGGGAGGTCAGTATATATGTATTCGTCCAAATCGGGGTTTCAAGTAATCTGGTCTGAAATCACCTGAAAGCAAGGCTTTCACCACTGTGAGACAATGTGTAGGTGAACATATTTAGATATGATGCCCAAACTTTCCATAAGCTTCATGTAGACACTCCTGCCCTGAAAGTAGGAAAGTCTGCTTTCTTTCAGTAATGATAAATTTGATTTTTATGAAGAGGTAGATTCATATGAATCCATAGCTGTGGCAGAAAGGGAAACTATACCACTTAATAGCCTCACATGAATATTTGAGCAAAAATAATTTTAAATCAGCTGCTGTTGCTGCTTCTGCTTTCTTGTACTTGATTTTTCTGTTCTTCGTGTTACTGCTTTGTTTGTAGCTGGTATTGGATAAATTGCATATTTCTTTCATAACTACATCTTTAATAACTTTTCTATTTCATAGGAATCATTGCAATTGGCCACATTAATGAAGCAATTGACCAAGGAAATCCTGAGAAAACTCTGGAAACCCTACTGTTGCCCACAGCCAAGCTGCAAGATGTAAGACCACTAAATGCACGGCATTATCAGGATGTTCTGCACCACACCAAAGCACAGAAATGCAAGGTTAGAGCTTTGACTGTTGCTGTTTGCCAGAACCTAAATGCTAATTCTTTTCAGTTACTCCTGTGTCCCTGTCCTGTTCCTCCGATGTTTTGATTAGCTGTGCCTATGAGGTTGTAAATAAGCCAATGGCAACAAACTGGCACTAAGAAATTTTCCACTACAGCTCATTCTGACTGGCGGAAGGGATTAATCCTCGGTGTATTAATACTAGGTCATATTCTGCATGTGTGTCATTACTGACTTGACATAACTTTGCTTAATTTTTAATTCTACTAGGTTGCTGCAGCTATTACAAAGCGTGGGCAGCAGCAGCCCTAACATAGGCGTGAATTTGTGCAAGGATCTAGTTACTAGTCTGTGTTGGGCAGGTAGTTACAGTAGATAGGAATTTAGGTTTTTGCCAGAAAGGAATCATAGTCATGCTGAAGGAGTCGTGGTGTTCTTTAACAAACCTCTGGGAAGTACTTTGAGGAGTCTCAGTTACTTAAATCTGGTGCTTTGTAGTAGTGGAGTTTTGTACATATTTCCGTTATGACTTTATCATGCAACAACACACTGGCCATCTTGTGTGTGCCTTCAGTTTAAACCTATCTCACCAGGATATTGCTGTCTGCTTCCCCAAAAGCAGTGCCCTGGTTAGCATCACAGCTTAGGGAAACATAAACAAAGATCAGCCGAACAGTTTGCAGGATGTGACTGAACACAAGATTAACTAAAACTACTAGCACAGCACTTAAAATATCCAGTGTGGAAAAGACATTTAAAATTCATATAATGCATTCCTAAAGTAATATGGTCAGCTGGAGAAAGTCCCTGAACTTTAGCTGGAAGATATTTCTAGAGGCCATCTTGCCACCTCACCTGTGGTACCTGCTGTGAAACAGCGTGTTTCCGCCATCCACTGTCAGAGCTTTCAAAAGGTGTTTGCACATCTCAATTTCTTGCTCGGGTTCCCACGTAAGAGCTGGTTTCACTGACCCCTGGATCCTGAAAAGCCTCCTCCCTTGCCATGAGTGCTGGGGAGGGTTTAGTGCACGCTGACTACTTTACCTGTCCTGGCAGGGCCAGGGTTGTTATTTGTGCGTAGAGAGTGCCTGTGCAGGTGGTGGCTGCACAGTGCTGGCCCGGGACATGCCAGACCCTTTGTGTATGCGTAGCGAGCCAGGATGTCCCCGAGGCAGAGACCTACATCCCACAGGCCCCCCGTGTGCCTGCACACAGCAGACCTGCCCTGGGTCGCTCCGGCCTGCTGCCACCGTGCTCCCCAGGTGCGAACCCAGTGCCTGCTCCTGTCCCTGTGTGAATGGGCTGATAGGCAACAAACAGGTGCCTCTTAAGTTTTGGAACACAGGTTGTGCAATTGTTTTGACATCTTTTCATTCTAAAGCTTGTGATGTTCCTAGAGATTTCCGCTGGCTGTTCTGTCCTGAGGTATTTTGTTTTTGCAGTCCTTTAACAACGCCTTCAAACATCTCCTCTGTAAACAGGAGCATTGCTCCTGTTTAGGAAGAGAGCAAGACAGTGTACTATATGTGCTCCCAAAAGAAACACTCAGATGCATTAATCTGACTTGCTCTCTATGCTGGTCAATCGCACAGACATCACCATTCTTTAGGTAAAGATACAACTTAGACTGAATGTTCCTTAAAAAAAATATCCAAACAGAATTGAAAAGACAGCATGATGTCTAAAGTCTGTCTATTCTCTTCTTTTTCTGAGTCCTGTTTATAAAGCAGACCTGCCTTTAATTGTATTTAGCATGTTTTAAGAATGAGCTGTCGTGAAAGGAAGTATTTGATTTACAAGGATCAGATAGGTCTGTCTGTGAACTTCCTGTGTTCCCCAGCATCTGGAAAAACATGTGGGTCAAACCTGCTTGCTGTCTGCTGTCACATCCCTGTAGCTGTGGCAGCTTTGGGGAAGTAGTCTGCACCCAAATCTTCCAGTACACAATACAGGTCTTAATCTCAGATCACACCTACTTGTTACTTCCTTGAAATTGAAAATGCAAACCTGGAATTTATTTATACTTGTAATCTTAAACCACAGCTTCTCACAGTTTGCAAGGCCATTTCAAACCAAGTGTATTCAGGTCCCAGTGAAGAGAAACCCTGTATTTAGGGAGTGATTTTTAGATACCTGAAAAGTGGAACAGATGTGCCAAACTCTGAAATGGTTCCTGTGTTATTTTATTTTTTGAGTGATAGGCACACAGGTTTTACAGTTAAGTTCGCGTTTTTTGTATTTACAATAGTTGTGTAACATCTGGATTACTTTAAATTTATCTTTAAAATCTGTTCTTGTGTGTGTTGAGGGAATGGCATGATTAAAACTAACAAATTCCTTGAAGACATTTTCCAGTGCAAACGATTTTATTTAAGTAAAGTTTTTTTACAATACTATTATCAAACTGATGGAAAACCATTTTTTCTCATCACTGTCTTACGTGCTGCAGTTACAAATATAAACTCCAACCACTGAGCTCATTTTCTAGGAACTTATACTCAGTATATATGTAGCTTTTGAGGTTCTGTAAACACAAAAGCTGACCCTTTGCTTTACTAACATGGACTATCAATCATAACTAGCTTCAGTATTTGTAACACCGTAGGTATTTCCTGTGAGGATGTGGAAACAGAGAATACTACAAAATAGTTTCCCTGTTTTGCTTACCAAGCAAGAATAGCACATGCCTGGATTCACACTGATAAGGATTAGCTCCCAGCAATCCTCATGGGCTAGAGGAGTGCAGGCGCTGACAAAGTGGAAGAACAAGTCTCTAGTGCAGAGCTGGTTAAGCAGCCTCATAGGAGATGCTGCCTTGGAAGTCTCAGGCTCCATGTCTATGGCTGTACATTTACTGCTCCTTGAACCTATGGGGCCTCTGGCTTTTTATTCCCAACATCCAGGGTAGTATTTGCTTTTGACTATGTGACAGGGAGCTTCTGCAAAGCTCAGCAGCTCCCAGGCATGTAGAAAGTGCTTTTACTTATTCCCACTGGGCCAAAAACTTGTATTCACATCACTGTTCCTGCAGTGACTGTGGGCTGAGAGCTAATTTGAAGTATTTGGAAATCATGAATGGGCCTAAAAGTGCTGTTCTGATATTGATTCCTCTTCTGGTGTTCAGAGGCTGTAGTGACTAATATTCTGGTTTCTTCTCCATGGCCATGAAAGTGATCTCGTCAGAAGGAAATGGAGGTGCAGAGCCTCTTCCCTCAATCTATGTTGCAACAGATGAACAGATGTTGCGATACACATGATAAAATTACAGATCTGTAGAAGTGTATTTCCGAAGATGTTCCTTGTGTGGTGTATGGAAGAAAGTAAATTTTACTGAAGTTGTATTTTTTTAACGCTTCTTAACTTTTTAAGTTTAATTGTTGCACCTGAGGTTGGTTGCTGTCTGGGTTAATATTATATAAAATCATAATTCCAATAATATAAGTATAGAACTAAATTCATTTTTCTCTGTATATTTTAACCATTGTTAGATAAGTATTGGATTGACTTCTAATTTTTGACATCAAAAAATAAAGGAAAGGATCAAGACAACTGTTTAAGCTGCTAAGGCATAAAGCAATTAGATAAAAAGAATACAACCCATCTGTGTTGTAATAGTAATAGTTGATATGATGGATAATAAGGATGATATTGCTTGGCACAAAGCAAATAGCAAAAATGGTAAGGATCAAAAGACTGACTTTAACGTACCAAAACCATTCATGAGTCTTGAGTGTTCGTATAATTGAAACATAGCAGAAAACAATAGTTGCAAGAGGTATTAAAAACCCAAAGATAGCTAAAGAAACATAGTAGTAGAACTGGAAGGAAGATACTGTTTCACAGGCGTTGTGCACATCATGGCAAGTATAAATGTCCAGTTGTTTTACGTAATAGCTTTGCTGCATTATGCAAAGCGGCAGCATGTACAAGAAGACGATCGTCCACACGGTAGCGCAGACAGCGATGGCGTAGGCGCGCTTCGGCAGGCTCTTGTAGGTGAAGGGGTGAACGATGGCCACGTAGCGGCTGACACTGATGCATGTGAGCAGCAGAATGGAGCAGTACATGTTGCCATAAAACACCACAGTGGTAGTTCGACACATCATTTCCCCAAAAATCCAGTTGTTACCGTTGATGTGGTACGCTATTTTGAAGGGCAGCATGATGCAGAAGAGCAGATCTGAAACCGCCAAGTTTGTGTAGAGGATGGCAGTGCACACAGACCGGATCCTGAAGAGCAGCATCCACAAAATGATGGCATTAGACGGTACACCCAATAAAACAGCACTGAGGTAGACGGCAGGTATTAGCTTGGTGCTCAGAGAACTGGTCAGGTACTTCAGCGTGGTGTTGTTCACTTCTGTTAAAGTGGAGTCATTTGACTTTTTTGAAGAGCATTTGTGTTCTCTGATGTGGACAGTTGTTGTTTCCCCTTCTATAGCATAAGGGGGGATATAATCATAGTCTCTTGCTGAAATTCCACGGAAAGTCTTGATAAGAGACACAGTTTTAACTGCAGAGCCATTCAGTGAAAATTCTGAAGCTTAAAAAAAAAGTTAAAATTGTTAAGAAAAGGCAATCTATTTGATTAGCAATATAATTCACCTCTAGGTACAGAGAAAGGTAAACATCTCCATGTGAAAAGCAATATATGTTTAAAAAATTTGGTGTCATTCTCCTTTGCTTCGGGTGTTCATATCAAGTGTACTAAAGGACAATCTTCGCTTTTATTTGTCATCTCATATCCAACCTTGAATATTTAGCATTAATTTAGTATTAAGCTGATCTTTCTGCATTTTGTATGATTTCAGTAATCTTTGGCAAAAAATAAGACACTTGTGTAGTATTTATTACCTGTAGAAAGGTTTTGCCCAGTAGTAGCAATGTTGGTAATCCATTTTATAAGCAGCAGCTTTGATCTGGGCTTGATCAGAATTTCCAAATCCAACAGTGGTACTATCCTTGTCACTTCAGGGATGAAATGCATTACTGCAAAAGATGCAAAAAGCCCTGTCTTGCCTAACACAGGCTGAAATTTTCAAAGTAGAAAATTGAAATAACCCTCAATTTTTTGATGTCATATATCAAATTAATGTTATTCTTCAGCTTCTGGCTGAAGCAAACCAGACCTTTTCAGCTTCTCACATGTGAGGAAGGGCAGTTAGTCCTAGGAACTGAAAACAAATGCTTGGGCTTATATTAGATCAAATTCATTGCTAGGTGGATAAAACTTTTCATGTAGCAGGAAAACTTACAGTGAGTAAATACTGTTAGCATGTGGCAAAGCCAATGGTGCCACTTTTATTAGTGCCTGTTCATCAATCTTTAGTAGAGAATGTAGAGACATTTGCAGGTGAAGCACAAATGTGTGCAAAATACTTCCTAAAATCTGTGTAATTAATTTTGTCATTTAAAAATTTTCTTAGCTGTGTTTAATGCAAAAAGACAATGTAAAGCTTAGAGCATGCATCTTGAAACTGGAATTCAAAAGGGAACTGAAATTTGGATGAAAACCTGTGGGTTTTTCTTTTACTCTTCCATACTGGAATTAAATAAGGAAAACAGTTTTAGCAATGTTTACTGTCATATTTATGGTAGAATGTCTTGAAATTATAACTAGTAGACTACATCCCTTGTAGTATTTTTCTGGAGGGTTAATCCAGAAAATTAATTGTAGTCACTTTTTGAAAGACATACGTGTGCATGCGTGTGAATGTATATATATTTATAAAATAGCTTTTAAAAATTAGTTTGGTTTGAAAACAGCTTTAATTCTAGTGGGGGAAAAAATGGGCTTATTATTTGATCATTTCCTTAGTTATTTTTGTCACAATAGTTATCTGAGCATTTCCTTCTAATAGCACCATCTGTGAAGTCATAAGTCTGTTGAACATTTTAAAGCAGAAAGAACAAGACTGTACAAGTTTAAGATTATCACATCGCTACAGAAATACTAGAGAAATGATGCATCTTCTCTAAGTGCAGAAAGATCCCATAAATAAAGTTCCTTATCAAAAGTGACTGGGGGGGAGGTAAGGTGTCACTGACACAGAAGAATAAAAATCTGCCTTTAGTGAGACTTCCCAGAGTATAGTTTTCTGTAATGATGCACGTGCGACACAATAAAGCTGGCAAAGTGCCAACTTTGTCAAAAAGCTCATGTTATTGACTAAAATATGGAGTAAATACAGAAAGGAGGACTCACCTGTTGTGAAAAGACTGGAGGTAAGAGAGAGCAGTCCAGTGAAAACCAGTATCTTCATTGTAGTACGAAAAATCCAGCTGGCCAAACAACAGTGCTGTTCTAGTTCATCTCGAGGCGTTTTGTGGGGGATTGTTTTCCCCTCTGTAAAGGACTAAAGAATGATTGATCTGTCCTCCAGAAGCATCCTGTAGGCATGAGGTTTATGGTAAGGAGCTAGTTTGTTCTTTGTCTACTACAGCAAGAGGGTGTGACGTATCCAAATATGCACACATGACTCAGTTTCAGCCTCTGCCCAACACAGAGATAAAATTGCTTTACAGCAGCAATTTAACTCCTAATTTACCACAAGCCCAAAGCTGAAGGTGTAGAGGGGGGGCTCTACTGGAATTTGTACATGCAGATATTTGGGGTAAAAAGGTGGTTTTTGGAAAAATCAAAGGCTATGTTTAGCAAATCCTCAAGGGTCTCATCCACAGACCGAAATGCCATGTCGCTGAACTCTGTACCCTTCTCAAGGGAGAAGCCAGGCTTGGAGAAGAGCATGGTGATATGGGTTTAGCAAACGCAAAGGTGAAAGCAAGCTGCGCAGGCAAACATGCCTTAAGAAAACCGTGCTCTGGTTTGCCTTCCACCTCCCTACCCACTGTTAGCAGTCTGTGCTCCTTGGATCCGGCTGCTGGCTCCGCTCAGCCAGCTCCCACCCCTCCACAGCCTGCAGCCTCTAAAACCTTTCCCCTATTTTCATCTGCTGTTTTGTTGATCCCTTCCTTTTCTCTGACTGTGTTGTTTTTGTGTTTGTTTTTTTTTTTTCTTCTTCTTTTGAATGCCAAATAACAATGACTTGCTTCAGCAGACAAAACTAGCCCCAAGTCTTGGTCTGGCTTCCAAGCTAGCAGCAAGGCTCAGCATAAGCTGTACTTGGCTCCAGAGCAGCACTTGCATCTGTTCTTGTATTTAGTGTGTAAAAGCTGGACACCAGATAAGGAATTCTTTTCAGTTTCTCAATCCTTTTCTCAAAATTGTCAGCTGTAGTTTGGGAATTTAGTACACACTCTCTCTCAAGTGTTAACTCTAACTTTCTTGTTAGAAAAACTTGTGGTGTGGGTTCACGGCCATGTGATTGCCTGACACTGCTTGATTTTATTTAGATGTTCTGCTACCTTGTTTATATATACGATGCAAATTGAAGAGTCTGTCTTTAGGGTTTTTTACCCTGTTTTCTCTTTGTAATTTCTGCAGATTTATTGGATTTTTGGCCTGGAGCTGGGCACAAACCCAGGGATATTCATTGTGAAGCTGGTTCTTTGTCCTTACCGGTTTAGCTTTAACGAGTTTCTGGGGTTTTTTTCCTGTAGAATTTGTGTGTACATAATCCTAGATCTTTATTGAATCACTACGTTCCAGTTTGTCTCATCATTAATCTATCATAGACCTGGCACTCCTATTTCCTCTTTAGACTGAATTTTGTTCCCCCACCTACTGGATTAGATATTGAATGTCATTTTAGCTCCAAACCCCTATTTTCTCAGCTGAAGTGTTGGTTTGTGAGCCTGGGCAGCTGGAGCAGGGTTGGTTAGTGGGGTTGCTGAGCCCACTTTCCTTCACCTTCTATTTTAACTTGGGTTTAATGCCATGCACTATTAACCTGTAGGAAGAGTGAGACCTGCTCTGCTGCTTAATTCCTGAAATGTTCTCCACCTGAACTATGTCATCATTACCAAACCTGAGCTGTCTTTCTATGTCAGCTTTTGCTGTTATTTTCTGAGTCATGTGTACTCAGGTGTACACGTGGATTCTTTCCAAATATGGGATTCTGAAAGACAGCCAACTTCCTGCAGTCTTCTGCTTTGTGGTCTTTATGCACTATCACAGTGCTGCCTGATAATGTGTGACTTTATTTGACACCGAGATTACTTTGCCTGTGTGTTGTGGAAATGAAAATGTTTCTAGCTGTGCTCAAAATTTTTATTGATCTTTAGCAGGATGGCGTCTTCTAGTCATGAAAACTTTCAGAGCTTTGTATTTGAACAGGAGTCTATTCAAGTCGGTAAATAGAATATGGACATGTTCTATTGCTGGTTTTAAGCAGTCAAATTCTTTTTAGTGTCCAAGGGCTTCAGGAGAGGAGATTGTATACTAGAGCTCTGTCAGTATGTTCAGACAACTTTTGTTATAATTCATTTTTTTCAAGGCTTTTCTCTACCCTTTTTCCAGGAATCGCAAGATGATTCAGCGCTTCTGTGGCTGGATGAAATACAAAAAGGAATCAGTGATGCCAATAACAATATAAAAGAAGCGGCGATCTGTAAGCATTACTCTGCATCTGCATTGCTCTCGTTTTTCTTAGTCTTAAAAACTGAAATTGATAATTTTTTTTTTCCACTTCTGGAAAGTGTGGCAGCCCTTTAAATACACAAAAAGAAACAAATGCCTGTTCTTTGACATTCTGAAATTAGGGTGACCCAGATCTCCAGGGGTGGCGTTGGTTTAATCTAAAGTGGTAATCCTTAAGGCTTGGCTAATAATTTAGTGGATTTGGTTTTGTAAGGTTAACATCATGACCAAGATTTCTAGTGTCAGTGTATACATAGCTGGTGAAACAGAAGGTTATGTGAATGAGAAGGGATATACCATTGAGGAGCTTATTTTTCTTATATAAGACTAAAATGTTGATGCACGTTGTAAGAGCAAATTTTTATATGTTTACAGCCTTGCTTATTCCTATTTCATTACAATGCCTTTTATTGAGTGCTAACAAACAAAAATTAGGAATGTTTTAACTTTAAAAGTAGAGTAAAAAGAGCACTCAGGCTTTTTGGGGAACTGCATGCTCTCCAATCTGTAAAGAGGAGAAAATCCGTAGGAAAAATGCTGGGGCTTATTCTGTCAGAGCGTTACGTAATGAATGCACACAACACTTTCTGTCAAAGTTTAGACTGAATACAGTAAGCTTAGAATAGTACTCATAATACCTACTGAACTTAGGCAAGTAACATAGAACCAAGTGTAGCTGGGTGTATGGGGCACACCGGAGAGCATGGTGGTGTCTCTACTTGGGGTGAGCTCAGACCAGCCGAGGCTGTTAGCTTGGCATTGGGTATTGGTTCATGTTCTGCTTGACTTGGCTTTGGGTGAGTCAGTGTCGCCTTCTTTTGCACCCTAAGAGTTGTGAATACAACTGCTGAAGTCGGTGCCTTCCTGCAGCGCTGCGTTCAGCCTTCGTTAGTGCAGCAGCCTGTTTGCTTACAGGCAGGCTATGTCAGTAGTTAGCGCTTGGAAAGTTGTGGGTGGAAGAAAACAAACACAGCCAGCTATTACAAAATCTTCTAACCCTGCCACAGAAATATTGTATTTAGTGTTACTGTTAATTTAGAATTTATTTAATCCATTAATACAGTCTTAATGTAACCAGCCAGATACGCTGAAGACACTTCAAGTATTTTTGTAGGTTACGCGTTTGTAGCAAAAAGCGCCTGGCTTGAGTTTTCTGAGATAGGGTCAGATGCACATGCATTGTCCCAGCTGACCAACTGTACTCAGGAGTGCTGACACCTTCCTTTGTGAATAAAAACTGCTTCCCGTCAATGCCACCCAGAGGCGCATGAGGAAACATCTGAGTGCAGAGAAGGGAAGGAAATGCATAGTTTATAAACAGATGTAAGTTAAAGCTAAAAAGCGACTTGAAAACATCCTCATTTGGGTCCACTGGTGTAAAAGCATTAAGAACACGTCTCATAAATGGCCTGAAGAAATTAGCACAGCATTATCCATATACCAACACAATCTCGCTAACAATTGGCCACTGTTCCATCCACTAGCTAGTTGTTGAAGTACAATCTTTTCATAGAATCAGTGTTTGTAGTAAATGCACAGATTTTCACAATCACATATGATCAGTAGAACTGTTTTAACAAGTCAGTTGTGGAAATAACTGCTAATCTCCTGTACTTTGCCCTCTGGGCTGAAAGGAAGCAGTGTCAGCACAGCACATTCTTCAGAGGAGCTCTAAGGTTTTGCAGCTAAGAACTGAGATTTGAAATTTCCCCACAGCACAGGACCTGATAGTTCCTATAACAAACACATCCTGTCTCAGGAAGTTAGCATGTTGCGTTCGCGTAGTCTAAACTTAAAGTTCAGCTTGATCACAGCTTGGAAATGAACTTTCATTTTGATCTATCTCGGATGCTATTTTTGAAAGGCAAACAAATCCCCATGTCCCATTCCAAAACTTTTACAAGGCGGTCAAAGATTTATTTTTCAGTCAGAACAAAGTGTATTTTTTTAGATTGCTGCAGTAATGGCAATAAAATACGCAGTAAAATGTCAGAAAGTACTGACAGCTGTACTGAAAGAATCTTGATCCCTTCCAGTCTAATTTTTATGCCTTATACATATTAAATACTGCAGTATTGAAATTTTAAGAGACTTTTACAAACGCCTCTCCCTGTCAGTAGAGGATTCTGTATCTTGTATCTTCATTTAGGAAGATTTACTTGTTCAGTTTATTCATTTTTATTCATTTACTTGTTCATTAAATGCTGGTGTGCTCCTAATTCTTTGTGGTGTTTGCTGTGCAGTTTGCATCACCTTGCTTCACTTCCTGAATCAGTTCAACTATTGTACTCCTTGTCTAAGTGGAGAACAAAATGAGATTGGCCAAATATCAGCTGTAGAGCCTTCAGGAATAGAAAGCAATACCAACCTTAATCTTGCACAGGAAGAGTCTGTCTGTCAAAGCAGGATCTGTCAGGAGAGAGTCCATGCTATAGGAAAAAGCTGATCTTTGGCCCTGTTGAGAGTTCAGGCTTATCACACCAGACAGCTGCATCTTTGTTTATGATAGCTGTTTGAAGAGAGGATGGGTGCAGAGAAGAGCCCTTCACAGTGTTGATCCATCCCAACAGCTGCAGGAGTGGACTGGAGCCCACAGTTCTCCTGCAGCTAAGAATGACTAAGCCCTGTTTAGCTCATAATTTTACAGGGTTCATGTGACCCTTCTTTAGAGCAACAGCCATGGTATTAGACTTCCCTTTGGCCAAGGAGGATTGTGTTAGAGATCAGCCCTGATGGGATGCACCAATGAGCGCTGAGGGAGCAGAGATATGTTATTGCAAAGCCACTCTCAATCATCTTTGAAAGGT